CACTAGTTCATTAATACATTTTGCTTGTTTACTGAACACTTATCATAGCCTCAGTTTAGAACAAACCAATATATCAAACAAAAAAGTCACATAATATTTCACTTTTTACTGACTTATTAATCATACAAGTATAGTGAATTCTGAGACATAAACAAACAAAAAAAAAAGTAAATTTCTTCTATCTTTATTATACACCATTTTAAAGATATCCATTGATTATATTAGGCATTATAAGCCAACACAATTCTTGACTATTAGTTTCATTTTCTTCATATGACCTTAGCCTTTTTAAAACCTACACAAAAATGTTCTCAAAAACTTTCAGCATTATTTTAAATAATCAAAGTTTGATGTATTGTTGTCTTATTTATTCTTTTCGATATAAAGTTTCATTTATTATGATGATGATGTTTTTTTCTCATAACTTTAAGTCACTGAACATAATCTTTTGTTTTTTGAACATTGAACATTATTAGTTCATCGAGGATTAATTCATGTATTATTATTATTATTATTATTTGTGTGTATCCAATGTTTACACACATGGTTACATATTGTCATGTTTGAAAAATATATACCTATCTAAGTGCTCATATTAACCTTACTATTTAAAACAAAAGATAAATCATAATTATTTTTATACCGACAAATATAGATTTTTTGGATTAAGACAAGACAACTAAGTGATTAGGACAAATGAAAATGAAAACTTTAAGAAAGATAAATATTTTGTTTATTCGAATCTGAAATTTTACATTTTTCTCAAGTTTAGAAAATAATCATTAAAAAAAAAGATCAGTTGCTTAATAACAAAAGTAAATAAAAGTCATTTTGAATGTGTCTTTTTACCGAAATACTCATAATGATGTATGTAAATGTTTTGTGTTGACTTATTCGGTTTAAAGATTATTTTTTATTTCAGTATTAGAGGACAAAGGAACTCATTTAAAAACATTGTATATAATAGTAGTTGTTATGGTAATGGGAGTATTTGGAGTTGTTGTTTAGTGAGATATTGTGGAGCAATAGTTTAGTGGCTTAAAGCAGCGGACCTTCAATTTATAAGCAGTCAGTTTGAACACCTCTTTACACCTCCAAATGCCCTGGTACGGATGAGAGTGGGGATAGTCCGCGCTTCCTCTCAAAATTATCTCACATGGCCACGCGAATATACAGCCTCTGCAAGGGAAGTCCTACTCACTGCATTCTCGTAGCGAGGTGTAGTTTACAAAATTGGGAAGACGAAAAGCGAATGTCCGGCCCTTTACCCGGGTTGATGAACACAGAAAGTCAACCAAGGGAATTGGGAAACCCTGATTCCAAACCAATGGTGCACATAGGCTCCAGTATCCTGAAGGAACAAATGGCGTATGAATCAACCGTTGATCACCGGCTACCATGGAATTGCATCTCCTCACGATGTTCCACTGCCTTGTGGATCAGACCTTTAGGCCAAAGGCTTTGGGTGTGGCCTCCTAAGAGAACCACCTGCTTCGGTTTGGGCATCCGGGCAGTATCACAGCCCTCACACAAATCAAATGAAATTTGTGTGACGCATATATATCTGCTGCCTCTTTGTACCAATATTTATGTGTTTAAATAAATAAATAAAATGTTTGGATCTGGCAATCACGTTATATTGCTAACTTTCACATAAATAGTAAGATTCCAAGCCGATTACACACACATTTACTTGATAAGTGAGTTACATATAGCAAAACATGATCTGTATTGTTGTCACTCTTGTTTATGACCTGAGATAAATCACTTTTATTCATAGGTGAGAGTTTACTGAACAGTAAGAAACTTATGGAAAAAATAACGCCTCATATTGCTTTATTTGATATCTTCATCTATCTTTATACATGTGTTATTGACAGAAATAAATACATACTCATCTTGCATAATCTATTTGTGTTTTGCTAGATTAAAGCAGAATAAAGAGAGAGAAAATCGAGTTTCCTATAATAATAAAAAAATCAATGTAATGGAATCTTTTAAGGATTTTTCCTTGTCTCATTCTTTAAAAGAGACAATAAATTCCTAATATAATTTGATGAACAAGGTGATAGTAATAATAATAATAATAATGATGAGTCAACGTGAACAGATGAGTTGAATAAACATATCTGTGGACATAAAATGTATATGCATACAGACTAATGTCTTATTCATGCTTACGTGAATTTTGAAGAAATGATGCAATCAAATTGAAGAAACCATGGTTTTTAATTATTTGCTTAATCAAACAGTAAATTAATGTTTGAACTAATTACATAATTATTCTTCATTATGAATTTGGAAAAAAATTTCACATATTCGAAGGTGATAAGGTTATATGACTAGTGTTTTAGATAAATAAAGGTCTAGATATATTGGCATCAGTTTAACTAAAATTTTCTGGTAAGATTATTATTCATTAAGTGTATACAATTTGAAAAATTATACTCTCTTTTATTAGAGAACACATGTCCACTAATCATCTTTTTGTGTTAGAATGAAAGCAGTTAAAAAAATATACTAAATTATTGAGAAGTTAATTACGAAACATCATTATTCTTCAGTATGGTTAATTTGTCTAGAATTGTAGTAAGTTATAAAATGCAATGCCTTTAAATGTTACGATTTTCTAAGGAGGTGAACTAAACATCAGTTTTCGTCTAGTTTATTCAGTCACTATATAATATTCACCATAGAACTTAGCACATATGTTCCAAGATTGTATACCACAATAGTATACTAAGACGAATCCTAGAGTAGTAGAAGTAATAATAGCCTCCAAATGTCCTGGTACGGTTGAGGGTGAGGAGTCTGTTTAGATGTATTGGCATTAGTTTGCCGAAAATTTTATAGTAAGATTATTATTCATTAAGTGTATACAATTTGAAAAATTACACTCTCTTTTATTAGAGAACACATGTTCACTAATCATCTTTTTGTGTTAGAATGAAAGCAGTTAAAAAAAAATACTAAATTATTGAGAAGTTAATTACGAAACATCATTATTCTTCAGTATGGTTAATTTGTCTAGAATTGTAGAAAGTTATAAAATGCAATGCCTTTAAATGTCCTAGTACGGTTGAGGGTGGGAAGTCTGTTCTTCCTCTCAAAATGCTCTCACATGTTCGTGATTTTGAACCAATGGTGTAAGTGAGTTCCCTAATCGTGAAGGAACAAATGGAGTACGAACGTATTGTTGGTCACTGGTTACCACGAGACTGTATCTCTTGACGTTGCTGTACTGTCTTGTGTATTAGACATTTGGTTAAAGGCTCCGAGTGTGGCCTCCTAAGAAAACCACCTGCTTTGATTTGATCATCTGGGTAGTATTTCAGCCCTCACACAAATCAATGGTACCTGCTACTAGCCTCATTGTTGATATGTGGCGCATATATATTTAATACCCCTTTTTACCAATATTTATACGTTTAAATAAATAAATAAATAATGAGATTTTGATGCAAAAGTTTATGAACTGCTCTTCGAATTTAACCTTTATGTGAGCGATAATATAACTTGAATACTCCTTAAATTTAGGTAGGCGTGATGAGATTAAAATCTGTAATCTAATGGTTTAAGAATAGGTACTTTAACCACTATCAAAATTCCTCTCTGATGGTGGGATTTGAAGAGGCATGGAGTTGCACATGTGGGAAATCCAAATTCATTAATCTAACTATTCAAATCCCAGAAATAAGTCGTAGTATAATGAAATTATTGACTGTAGAATCAATATTTTTAGTGATATTGTCATTTCCTTTCACTCAAGTCTTTGCTATAAAAATAAATCATAGTGACTAGAAAGGATGTAAGAATTATTCAGTGTGTAGGCTATCGATTGATGACAACCTCATTTATTAAATCAATATGAAATTGTATGATAGATCGACTCCAAATTCTAGACATTACATCTAGAATTCGTGTCATTTATTGATTATATGGATGATGATTGACAGTTAGTGTGAGAAGGTATGATCTAATTAGAACAGTGATGACAGTGAATTTCTAAGCGTACAAACAACTAACTCAAACATGATGTGGCTTATTTTTCCCCCACTAAATAAATTACAGAAATAGGTATGTGAACATTAAACATAGAGTATGACGTATTCAATTTAGGCTCAATTAACTAAATTTCTATCTATGATCATAATCAATCTGATATATTGCAATTACACAAACGTGTCGATAATAGGGTCTCAGACATTATACTTAATATTGTCTAACTGAATTTGATCGATTAGACTAAATTAGATTTTGTATTTTTACTTATAAATTTTACTAGATCAGTTAGCTATATGCTTGTACCGTATTACGAATAAACTGTTTAAGAATTGGATCATTGAATTTTAACTCTGTAGTCTACACAGATCAAGTTCATTAGGAAATTTAACCTATCCAGAATCAGTTCAATATAAAGTCGTGCAACTTCAAATATCAGCCTTAAATTCAGACAAACACATTTGTATTGAGGCTTCTGGTATTCATTAGTTGTCTTTATTTGAATTGCCACAATCAATACAAATTAATTATTCGGATAGTTGAAATCATGAGTCCATTGAAGCTAGACCACAATGGAAAACCTGGAAACACTGTACGGCCGTTTCGTTCTATTGTGAGACTTCTCAGCAGTGCGACTCCACGATCCCACCTTACGAGATTCGAAGCCAGGACCTATCAGTCTTATGCGCGAGTACTTAACCTGTGGAACCACTAAGCCGGCCGGCGTCCAACGGTGCTAATGTCTAACTTCAACCAATCAACGATATTGAGCAACCATCCACGATTGTCTTCAGTGAGTTACTATCTCACAACCCAAGTTTTCTATCGTAGTCTAGCTTCAATTAACTCATGATTTCAACTATATAAAATTACTAAGATCTCCACAAACCCCCCCCCTTTGATATTCCGATAATATTTTAAAAAGAAATACATTTATAAATAACTACTAGAAAATAAAAGAATCCAAAATTAACATCTAAGATACATATTATACTTACCAATAATATAAAAGTGATATATTCCAAATTTTTGTTTTAATTCATAGAAACAAATTACTCACTTATTATATTCCAAAAATAGAAATATCCAAATAATGATATAATGATTATGAGTATGTTTTCAATAGTAATCTATGTATACATGTATATTTAGGTGTAATGAATATAAGAGATATGTAATTTACTTTTAGATATTTCAATAAAACGATTGAATATTAGTTAAGAAATGTGTTACTAAGAGGAAATTATTATTTTCAAAAGACATAAACCATAATCAACTATTGAATTCATCATCATCATCATCTCTCTTTTATGAAAATTGTTATGGATTTAGTTTATGATCGTTTATTTTTTATTGTCCTTTTTATTCTTTGTCCTCTTTTTTTTCCCCCTTCAAAATATTTTACTCCTTCTTTATAGAATTCAGTTTCTTTAAATGAACAATTATGTATTGATGATTATTTCACTATGTTATTAATCATATTATATAATTGTTGTTATGGTGAAAACAAACGATATGACATGATTTCGATGGCGTTTTTACAAATAAAATTTTATGGTTATCATCATGATTAATAATGTTGTCATTATATTACTATTATTACAATTATTAGTGGCGAGTTTATGTGTAAAGACATACATCAATCACAGACCATATATGTATATCTATATATATCTATATACAATCATAATACAGCTTCTGTGCTTCTGTGTATAATTTACTCTGTAGTAACAATAAACAGATAAATAAGTTATAGATGGATAGATGGTATGATGGACATATTATATAAAAAAAATGATTAGACTGAGAGAAACATACACAACATAAATAACTATGATCAAATGGATGGACAGTTGTAGATATAGATAAATAGATAGATGGATAGATTGATGAACATCATTTTGATTGAGAAGAAAAAGTTTAATAGAGAATGGTGTAGAGAATTGTAAATGATTTACGGGCAGAGTAATTTATTTGGATTGCTTCACTATTCTATTCAATTTTTTCTATCCAGATAACCTAGTTGATTATGATTGGTTAATATTATTTTGACAGTTAGTATTAGATGTATGAAAGAAAGAATGAAAAGAATTTTATAGTAAATGAATGAAAAAATCTGTACACATTATATGCTGATTCATGTTGAATGTTAGTGTTCATAAGACTAATGATTAATAGTTGAATTCATGAGTCTATCTAACCTACTCATGATTAAGTAGACGCTACACAAATATATATTTTTTTATTTCATTTTGCTTATTAGGATGCTTCAGGTTATTATTTTTCAAATATCTTACAAATAATTCCTTAATGAGTTATACGTTTACTTAATAGGTTTAATGAAGCCTGATAAAAAAATCACGATATTTGAGTCATTCATGAACTGATCATATAAGGAAGGTTATGATCTCTGTGTTCGATAATGTTATCAAAATACATAATTAGAAAGATGAATCCCAAATCTCATTGATGGTTAATTCATACAGTTTTAAATATACTATAAGTGTATCAGCCAATATATGTATATGTACCTTGACGATAAACTCCGCCTGTAGCTCCTCCAGGGGCTACTGCCGGTCCCAAGCCCGGGTAAAGGAGGAGGGTTGGGCATGGGGTTAGCGACCCCATCCCGTAGAAAATCAACTCGCTAAAAAAACGCTAACCAGAAAAAATCATTCAAACCATTCAAACTCTGCCCTAGGAGTAGAAGGAATAATTATGACGTCTCATGATGAAAGCCGAGTTCATTCGGAAGTCATGAGGCCGATGCACCTTCTTACAACCAGAGCGACAATTTTTATAGGTACATGGAATGTCCGGACAATGTGGGAGACCGGCAGAGTCTTCCAAATTTCTGCGGAAATGAGGAAATACAACCTGGAAGTGCTTGGAATCAGTGAAACACATTGGACGCAGGTTGGACAACAACGACTGTCTTCAGGGGAACTTCTGTTATACTCCGGTCATGAAGAAGAAAATGCCCCACATACACAAGGAGTGGCACTGATGCTGTCTAGAAAAGCACAAAATGCACTTATAGGATGGGAATCTCATGGACCGAGGATCATCAAAGCCTCCTTCAAAACAAAGAGAGAGGGCATTACAATGAACATCATCCAATGCTATCTGCCGACCAACGACTACGATGAAGACGCTAAAGACCAATTCTACGATAGGCTGCAGTCGATCTTCGAGAAGTGCCCAACCAAGGACCTGACCATTCTAATGGGAGATTTCAATGCCAATGTTGGAAAGGACAACACTGGATACGAAGACGTCATGGGACAATATGGACTGGGAGGAAGGAACGAAAACGGTGAGAGATTTGCAAACCTATGTGCCTTCAATAAACTGGTCATAGGTGGCACCATATTCCCACACAAAAACATACACAAAGCCACTTGGATTTCACCGGATCACACTACACAAAATCAAATCGACCATGTCTGCATCAACAAAAAGTTCAGGAGGACGATGGAGGATGTGAGAATCAGACGAGGAGCTGCTATACTATCCGATCATCATTTGCTGGTCGCTAAGATGAAACTAAAACTCAAGAAGCACTGGACAACGGGGCGGACAACATCACAAAAGTTTAATACGGCCTTTCTTCAAGATGCTGACAAACTCAACAAATTCAACATAGCCCTCAGCAACAGGTTCGAGGCCTTTCATGATCTACTCAATGGAGAGGGAACTACCATGAAGAGCAACTGGAAAAGTATCAAGGAGGCAATCGTTTCAACATGTCAGGAGGTTCTGGGCCAAAAGAAGCACCATCACAAGGAGTGGATCACTGTTGGTACAATGGATAAGATTGAAGCAAGGAGGAACAAGAAGGCAGCGATCAATATCAGCCGAACAAGAGCAGAAAAAGCCAAGGCATAAGCCGAATACACAGAGGCAAACAAGCAAGTGAAGAGGAGCATCAGAACCGACAAACGTAAATATGTGGAAGATTAAGCGATGACAGCGGAAAAGGCTGCAAGAGAGGGAAACATGAGACAACTGTATGATACAACAAAGAAACTTGCTGGAAATTACCGTCAACCAGAAAGACCAGTGAAAAACAAGGAAGGCAAAGTAATCACCGACATTGAAGAACAACGAAACAGGTGGGTAGAACACTTCAAGGAACTCTTGAATCGACCAGCTCCACTGAACCCACCCAACATCGAAGCAGCACCCGCAGACCTCCCAATCGATATTGGCCCACCAACAATTGAAGAGATCAGCATGGCCATTAGACAAATCAAGAGTGGCAAAGCAGCAGGACCAGACAACATCCCGGCAGAGGCACTGAAAGCAAATGTAACAGCAACTGCCAAGATACTCCACATCCTCTTCGGTAAGATTTGGGACGAAGAACATGTACCAACAGACTGGAAAGAAGGACTTCTCATCAAGATACCAAAGAAAGGCGATCTGAGCAAGTGCGACAACTACAGGGGCATCACTCTCCTCTCAATACCAGGAAAAGTCTTCAACAGGGTATTGTTAAACAGGATGAAGGATTCCGTGGACGCCCAACTTCGAGATCAACAAGCTGGATTTCTTAAGGATAGATCGTGCACAGATCAAATCGCAAATCTACGTATCATTGGGGAACAATCAATCGAATGGAATTCATCACTGTACATCAATTTCATCGACTACGAGAAGGCATTTGATAGCGTGGACAGGACGACACTATGGAAGCTTCTTCGACACTACGGCGTGCCTGAGAAGATAGTCAACATCATACGGAACTCCTATGATGGACTAAACTGCCAAATCGTCCACGGAGGACAACTCACCGACTCGTTTGAAGTAAAGACCGGTGTTAGGCAAGGTTGCCTACTCTCACCCTTTCTCTTTCTCCTGGTGATCGACTGGGTTATGAAGACGTCAACATCTGGAGGAATGCACGGGATACAGTGGACAGGCAGGATGCAGCTTGACGATTTAGACTTCGCGGATGATCTGGCTCTTCTATCACAAACGCAACGACAAATGCAGGAGAAAACGACCAGTGTAGCAGCAGCCTCAGCAGCAGTAGGTCTCAATATAAACAAAGGGAAAAGCAAGACTCTCCGATACAATACAATATGCACCAATCCAATTACACTTGACGGAGAAGCTTTGGAGGATGTGGAAATCTTTACATATCTGGGAAGCATCATTGATGAACACGGTGGATCAGATGCAGATGTGAGGGCGCGGATCGGCAAGCAAGAGCAGCATACCTACAGCTGAAAAACATCTGGAGCTCAAAACAATTGTCAACCAACACCAAGGTTAGAATTTTCAATACAAATGTGAAGACAGTTCTATTGTATGGGGCGGAGACGTGGAGAACTACGAAAGCCATTATCCAGAAGATACAAGTGTTTATTAACAGTTGTCTACGCAAGATACTTCGGATCCGATGGCCAGACACTATCAGCAACAAGTTACTGTGGGAGACAACAAACCAGATTCCAGCGGAGGAAGAAATCAGGAAGAAGCGCTGGAAGTGGATTGGGCACACTTTGAGGAAATCACCCAATTGTGTCACAAGACAAGCCCTCACATGGAATCCTGAAGGTCAAAGGAGAAGAGGAAGACCAAAGAACACGTTACGCCGAGAAATAGAGACAGACATGAGAAGAATGAACAAGAACTGGAAAGAACTAGAAAAGAAGGCCCAGGACAGAGTGGGTTGGAGAAAGCTGGTCGGCGGCCTATGCTCCATTGGGAGTAACAGGCGAAAGTAAGTAAGTAAGTAACCTTGACGATAATTATCTCGTTACTAAGGTTCGGCTTCGAAACAGATTAGTAAAATGTTAAACATGACGAGAAGTGGTTGTTTCATCCACTGATTGAAACAGGAAACAGGTGTTTAAAAATAAATATACCACTTACGGAACTGAATGATCGTGATTTTGATTTCCGGTGAGTTGCATGCATATCCCACTAAAGAGGAAATATCTATTCACTAATTTTAGAGTTGACTTTCAATTAACGAAAAAAATTATCTTTAAATGTAATAAATTACAATCTTTTAGTTCTGTCTTCAATTGTTTCAAAAAATGAATAAATCGGTTTAAATGACCATATTAACTATAAATAAATTATTTATTTGTAATATCCCAATGATTAGAAAAATTAGATTTTCTGACGTTACGTGACTCAATCTAAGCCACTTCTTCAGAGAAACTTGGTAATGATACCTAGATGGTAATTATAGTATTAAGCTACGTTTCATTTCTAAATTGACTTTAAAAAACACAACCGTTTTTGTATTGTCGCCAACTGGAATACACCATTATAGTATGATGTAATACAACTTATGACCTTGGGATTTTTAAAGCAAAACAAATTAGGAACTTTGAATACAGTTAATAATTGTGTTGATTTTTCTAAAGCCAGGTAATTTGACTTATTTTTTTCCAGTTGTTTAATTAGTTACTCAAGAAAATAAAAGTTTGTCAAATAATGGTAATAAGAATTCTTATCGAGAACATAAACCGATTTAAAATAGATAAACGTTGAAAACTAGGAATCACTCGATAGCTGTATTATAATAGTATGGAACTCCTTAACAGTCCAGATCTACAACTCTATTGACAATCGAACTCATAAACTTTAGGTCTCATGTTAGGTGTTTTACCTTTAGAGTACTGAACCAGTATCAAACTGTTTAAATGTTTGACTTCAATCAATTCGCGTCATTGTATGATTCTTTCTAGTACCACTAGTGGATAACTGTCTCAAATCGGTTGTGATTGAACCCCACTGGTAATGGCTTCTCGCTAGAATTTGTGGAATTGCCTTTATATATTAGTTATTAGTGAGCATATGATTATTCCTAGTATAGTGAATTTGTGAAGATCGTCTAATTTTTTCATTTACACCTCGAAAAAATCTTAGCTAAACAAGATGATTGTATAATTTCATTAATTGATTCAGGTTAGACATGTAAGCTGTCGAATGATGGCTCATTGGTCTAAATGGCTAT